ATATCATTTGTACAATTTTAAAGTAAAATAAAAGGGAATTCTGATTCTTAGAAACAGATATTAAATAGTCTAATGATCGAATGATGGGACAAAAAAAAACTTTTTTACCTTTTAAACTAAAAAATTGTTTAAAACTAAAAAGTTATAAATAATTTATTAATACTCAAATTGCTTGAAAGATATGTTCCCTACTAATCACAACGAAGTTTTTTATTTATTCAGTCATTTATTTATATTTATTATGTCCGACAATGTAAAAAAGAAAAAAAAATGCATTTTGGGCTTCTGAGGGCCCCAGCTCCGAATAAAACTTTAAAAAAAGAGGGGGGGGAGTATTATCTGGGGGCCCTTGTCATCTCGGGGCCCCAAGCTACAGCTTATTTAGCTTATACGTAAATCCGGCCCTGTCTGCACTAATTAAGTATGTTTGAGGTCACCCCTTCGAATCATTGAGATTGAGTCCTAGAATGTGAAGACCCGTTCATTAGATCAAAATTTGTTCAGGGTGGATAAATTATTTTTTTGCTCACTCTACTTTAAAAGATTCATTGCTATTTAAATTTGCGGATTTAAACTGTTTCTAGCTTTATATTAAACATAAGTGGGAAAACACATTGAAGATTCTCTATAAAATCTATCAATTTATTTGTTACATATAAATGAGTTTTTTTTCATTTGAACCCAATTAAAAGAAAACAAATAACATATAAAGGACCTATTTTATGCCTATTTTATGTCTCGTATTTTATGTCTTTGGAAAAGAATTTAAGTATCGAAGATAGCATCCTAAAATTGTCTGAAAATTCAACCACAGCAGCTATAATTATTTGAGATTTTTTCTCATAGTGCATTAATTATAATCATTGTAACTGCAATCTTTAATTCATTTAATAGTTGCAGAAGTTGCTGAACCAATTATATAATTTAGAAGATCAATTAAATTAAAAAATAATGATCTTTCTCCCAGTGTTAAAATTAATCACTAAGTTCATCAACAGATGACGCTACTAACTCAGAACATTATAAAATATTTTTGAAATATTTGTTGCAGCAAGATTATATGGTTTGTGTAAAGTAACAAACACCTGTTGAGATATTTTGGCTGATGACATTGTTTTCCAGTTTTTTTCAGGCAGCAGCGCCATCTGTTGTTATGCTGGGTGTACATTTGTAATTGATTCAATAATCAGGTGACTAATTTAATAATTCAGGGGATTAATCCAAATGTAAATTATCACTTATCAGGCATAATCTTGATTTAAGGAATTTTAACTGGCATCATAGAAGGCAGCAAATCGTCGTACCTTTTTACATCCATTCTTTTTCTATAAATTGATTTTAAAAATAGTAGGTCAATATTTGGACATTCGGTCTAACAAATTTTTAAGCTACTGTTTCTTTTTTGCACATTTTTGGAAACCTCTCACGTTAAACATAGTTTTTTAAAAAAGTTAATAGCTTAACATCTTATTAAAAATGAAAAACAAGCTCAAAAACATGTGTGTTGGAAACCAAATATTAAATAGGCAGCGATGGTTTTATTTAGACCTGTAAATGTCAACTCGCCACACGAATAACAATACGTGGCGTGTCAACACAAAAAAGCGGTGACTTAAATTAAAAAAGCAAACGATTACTTGTTCCTATTCTTTTTTTTTCTTACTTTTTTCAATGAAACGTTTAATGGTAAAAGTACATAAATGCAAAAAGACTCTGGATAGCAGCATTTTTATTAAAATGTCCAATGTTCGAAATTTTGATACTTCAAAATTCATCAATATGTGATGAAAAGATTCATGTGGGCGGAGATTTCTTAAATAATTCACATAATTCAAAGTTTTAATGTATACATTAAATGTGTATTTCACCTGTAATGTATGCTAAATTAAATTTAACTTCACATAATTACATTATTTTTATTGTTCAATTAACTTTTTATGCCTTAGCTTCTTTATAATATGCATTTTTTTTAAAAAAAATATAATTTTATCTAAGCAAAAAAAAATTGTTAAAAGTGGCTATTACATAAAAAGGTCATATCGATATCGAGCACCTACCTATTTATTATGTCTGCGGAAAAAGTGAATACCAAGTTATTAGAGTCCACCTGCACTGGCTACTAACTCAACATTTAAATTTTCAGATGTAGTTTTATTTAAATAAAATTATCCATTTCTACTTAGGCAATAATTTCAGTTTAATATCTATGGTTTCTTTTGTGAAATTAACATATTCATAGTGACTTTGAAACCACTATCCTGTCTTTAAACCGATCCATTAAATAATTTAGGAGCAAAATTTAGCATTAGTTTAAATTCAATTAAATGTACTATATTTTAATATTTTTTTTAAATTTCAGTTTAGAGAGTGCCTGAAGGAAAATGAAAAAGTTTTAAAATTCGTAAGTTACATTTTGAGCAATTGGTAATACAACGATCTTTTAATCAATTAGGTGTATGTCTTTGAGTCAATTATGTGTAAAATACACTTAGTTTATTGTGGGTAAGAATTACACTACCGCAGTAAACTAAGTATATTTTATTGTTTCATTTCCCTAAAAAAACTGAATTAAAAAATATTGTTGCCTGTTTTACGTGGGCAAATGTTTATGAAACAAAGTAACGTTTTTCATCAAAATTATTAAAATTAATGGAAATTAACATTAGACGAAAATATAATGCAGAAACGAAATTCTCAAATCTTTTTATTTCATATTATACTGAAAAAGTATGGTCAAAACTTTCGAAATATGGTAAAATTCACCATGTTCCTTTCAGTATAGGAACACAAAATTTTTTAATCGAAGCACTTGGTACTGATTTTGCTAAAATTAACATTCAAATATGGTTTCATAATATGTGATAACATTTGGTAAATGAGGTAAAATTTAATGATTTTATCATGAATTATAAACCATTCATTTCGTTAAATTTTCCCTTCAGTTCTGTATTTATAATAAGAACTATATAATATTTGATAAGAAGAACTATCATTTTCAAAAGTAGAACTTTATATGGAACCGATAAACCGTTACAATATGACAGGCAATATTACCAAATGAGTGGTTTTTAAATACCATCTGTTTCAGTTTCATTACCAGGTTTATGACTCTTCTTGTCAAGAGTATAATTAACGATCAGTACAGTAATTATACCAGAATTTTCTTTTCGTGCATGGTTTTCAAAATAAGGAGAACATATACTGTGACGTGAAAAGTTAATTAGGTTTTTTAATAAAAAGAAACAATGGTTTAAAAAAAAAATTGATTTTAAGAATTTTTGAGATGACGGAAAATTTATAACCTCATTGTATTTTAAGCTAATCAAGTATATTTAATTGGATTCGCGAACTGAAGTGTATGATAGAACGAATTTGAAAATACGTTAAATCAATGATTTTTGATTTTATATTTTCGCGCTTTGCGCTTTGCAGCTTTTATTTTTATTATATTAATTTAAACAATCTATGCGAAAACAATCCTGACATGCTGTACAATTAAATATTTTTTTTAAAGAAAAACGACTTTTTTTAAAAAAAATATTTGAAATCTATGGAATATTTTGCATAACTGGCGGGAAATACCGAAGGTAAGTCTAAACATTTATAAAAATGAAAAAAATTTCTTACGCAAAAAATTTCATTTGCATTATTATTATCTGAAAATGAAAAATATTGTATATAAAATTTTGTTCCAATAATCAAAATGTAAAACGCACATTCAGGGAGTTTTTGACTGTCGTCTGTTAAAATAGTCTCGAATTGTAAATGCTCTGTGGCTTTGAAAATGTTAAAAACGACTACAGTAATCCCTAACATTGAAGAATATATGAAGAGTTCTTATATTCACATAGGACATTTTGAATAGACTTTTCTATTGTGAAATAAAGTTCAAAATATATTCTAATATTATTTTATTTTCCCTACCATTTACAATTGACTACAACTTATTTTCGGAAAAGAAAACAGTTTTCTTGAATCATGGATGACCAATAATACATAAGCCAATCTAACAAGTACAAGTATAAATACCACATACTTATTTTGTGTTTATTTTCTTCATATTATATACTTATTAGTATGTACTTATTTTATTGATATCAATTATCACAGATAATTTTATTTTTAAGCTACATTCTCTTATATATTTCCTTATTATTAAACTCGTGTAAAGTGGTTTGGTATATGAACTTATTCTTATTTTATATTTCTAGTATGATTTGATCGATACACAGGTGAGTGCTTCATTTTTTTAAAGATTTTGTACCTAAACATAAGTAATTTTTCATTAAATTGATTAATCAAACTATTCAAATTTCATTACAAACATTACAATATTTCTCCTTGGCGAGATTTTTTCCTTTGAGCAATTTATTTCTTAATAACAATTTACATTTTCTAATAGCAAAAAATTTTGGATTCGTTAATTCAATCAAAATTAATCGAAATCATTGATCGACTTATTCTTAGATACTTTTATAACACTTTAAGGATTTCATTTTTTAAAATTATTATAAGCATGAGCTGAAACAATTTTGTTAGATTGTCAAATTCATTATAGATTATTTTAATCTGTAGTTGAATAAATTATATAAATTATCCAATGCTAAAAAGAATTTTTTTCTTCTTAATATTCATAAAATATCTTCTATTTAATAGTAATTTAGTCATTGTTATTGCAAAATAACTTAAATTTTAACGATTATCATCAATCGTTTGGCAAGGATTTTCAAACCTTTCTGCACCATCTAAAATAAAGCACAATCTGGAATATTGTTCTTGCTACTTCCTGTTATTTTCTTGGTCTTCATTTTATACTTAAGGCTGTTTTTCGAAGGTTCTGCAGTTGCATGAAATCATGTTTTCTTCTGAATAATATGCTATTTTAATAACTAATATGAGTTTTCAACAGTTACTCGTGACCGATAGGTCAAGTGTAGCTTATCTTTCTCCAGTGCTCTCTATACTTATTCTAAAAATTGCACAAAACGTCAATATGGAGAAATCCACAGTTTTGAGAAAATGAAATGGTAATTTTTAACATATAAAAACTTGCTCCAATGTAGCATAGGACCCTTAAAAATTTGCAAAAAAAATAGGAATAAGGCATTGATTTTGATAATTTTCCTTTAGGTGAAAACTAGGCTCCTCTGGGCTAGTGAAGATGATAATTTAAGTCACAAAACTAAACACAAAAACGTACTTTTTCTGAATAACTATACCTTTAATTTTGTCGATGGATTCAGCTTTCTAGTTCCCTTAATATAAAGGGTAACCGCAATCTAGGAAATTTGGTCAGAAGAGCGATCCAAAGTTTGAACTCCTTAGCGTTTATTTTAATTTTTGCCTATTTTGCCATATCTCAGAATTTTTTTTTTGAATAGAAAAACTTTTGCACACAATAATAAAATTTAATTGTCTTAAGATAATTCCATGCAAAAATTAAATTTTAGTAAATATTTATTAATTTATTTAATAACAAACGAAAATATTTTGAATTGTAATTCATAAACTTTTTTCACATCATTTTAAAGTAGGTAGTTGCACATGTCGAAATACAAAATTTGAGAGAAATCGGCTGAATAGTTCTTGAGAAATCAAATTTTCAAAAAGTCGTATCTTAAAATCTTTTATGTGAATGAATTTGTTTTGTCATTTGTTTGAGAGGCTACAAAAAGTTTCCTAATCTTCCCTGCGCCCGGAAGTACAACTGTGCTGGTTGGGGCATCCATCTACGAACCTGGAGGTTATTGGTGCGAATCCTGTCAGCAGTCAATGAATAAACTGTTCACCCATTTCTCCTTCTCCATAATGTTTCAGACTATGCATTTCCCTCGAATATTCATGGAAAAGTATACGCTGCTTCAATTTTGAGTACATGGGGATTTCAAGTTCGACAAATTTTTGGTTCGGAGCAATTTTGAGAAATCCTTTTATTACAGTGTACAAATCCTTTATTACAGTACCCTTTATTCAGAGTATTTACCTAAGTCACATAAACTTGTAACTGCAATATATACGTATATATATTACAGTTACAGTTTTTTGTTTCATATCTTAATTCTTCATATATATATATATATATATATAGATATGTATAAAATTAT